ACGGATCTGATTCCTCCCGACCTCTGCCAGTCATGGTTTGCAAAGACACAAAAACGTTTCATGTTCAAGATACTTTGTTGTTTTCTTGCTTTTAAATCTCTGACCAAATAAAATAAATAAACTCTCAAAAATGTGAGAAACCCTGAAAAAAAATGTGTTAGGTCCAGGAAGAAAAAGAACTCCATCCCTAGCTCATTATAATCAGAAATTCCCAGAATGCATTATTTTTTATATATAAAAATGTTATATATAACATTAGAACAGCATACAGTACATTTTTGGTCAATGGGTTATGAAAACATTACTGCTGTTCTGGAATCTGATCAGAGAAGAATTGTAAAGAGTCTTTTTAGTCTTGAACAGATACAAAAATTTAAAATCTTGAAAGTTACTGAGAAAGTCCACCCAGCAGACTTCTTCAGAATCAACAGTGAAACGTGAACCAGAGGGCACAGGAGGGAACTGCGTGGAGGAGCACTGAACATCCAGTACAGGAGCCACTTCTTTCCTGAAGGGGCTGTGGGAGTCCCAGCTACCAAGCCCTTGTGTTGAAGCCAAAACGCTGACTCTTTGAGGAACCAGCTGGATGAGATCCTTGGATCAATTCGCTACTGTGAACCAAACAACTGAGATGGGCTGAAAGGCCTCCTCTCATTTGCAAATACTATTCTATATGATGTTGTTTGAGTATATTGTACAATTCTGGCATCACATCCCCGGACTGAAGTCCTACAGTTTTACTATATATCCCCACTCAGTATAGTCTCAAAGCAATTCTTACAGCACTCAAAGAGACCCTGCAAGAACATTTGTCTTAGTGAAGACTAACTGACACAACAATAAAAACAGTATAGGAAATGCAACTTCACATGCTTTCCTGACTCTACCATCAATTTCTGTTTATGAAAATCCCCACTCGGTCCAAAATCTGCTGCCTTGTATAATATCTGGCACAATCTTGGAACTTCAAAACTACAGTGACAGTGCTTTTCTATCTATATATAATTTTTCTGCAAGGATAATCTTTCTGCAGAAAATGTATGTTGAGAAAAACAATAACTTAAAGGCATGTTTTCCCAAAATGGAAAAAAATCCAAACCTGCAAGGATATGCAAGCTTACTATTTTCTCAAGCGCAGCTGAAACAATGTACTGCACGGTACACTGAAAAACACTTCATACACGAGAAACAGAACACAAATGACTAAAAAAATAACAGCAAATAACTAAAAAAGCTTTGCAGCAAGAAAAACAGACATTTGCATTGAGTGAGTGAATATACTGTACAGGTGATTTCAGATTATTTTTTACTGTGCTGAAGGTAATGGATGTTCAGCAAACAGAGATACCATATCTGTTTTATTAGTATGCACAACACCCACTGAGTGCACTGCTATTTCTACACGGGAAAAAGCTGCCTTGAAATTATTTAGGCCCCATTCATGCAGTTTTTCATTGCCACAACATAGAGGAGATATATTTCTGGAACTATGATTGAGCCCTCTGTACTTCATAGCTGGTAACACAGTTCAACAGGTTCACTGTTATCTTTGATTTTGGGATCTCATTTGAATGAGTTTCCTTTTCTCAGTCATATGTTCCTAGAAAATCCAGATAAACTTAAATTTCATTTTCAACCTGAGAATAATGTAGGCATTATAAATTGTGATTATTCCAATAACTTAACTGGGTTTAGAGGACAAGATTGAGAAAGGTGCCCCTCATTATATATCAGATGAGGGTAAAAGTGTTACAGAGTTACAGTTCTGGGAGAGGGGTGTTGAAGTCGTAAATGCATTTTTAATTCTGTCCTTTTCAGCAACAAGTGGTGAATATATTTCTTTAATAAATTAAGCAGCATTTTATTAGTTTTTAGCAACATCTCACATATAATCAAAGTATAGGTTTTACCTTACCACATCTATTCAGCAAATGATTCATAAACCTTTCATATTAAACTGCTGTGTAATGAAAAGCACATTCAGTCTATAGACAGTTACTAAAAACTAATATCTTTTTCCTTCCTTTGGCCCACAGTCAATATCATACATTGAAATGTAGTCCAACAGGAGATGTGCCCATCCAGACTTTTTTTGTATGGGAAAAAAAACAATTCCCTCATATCTGTAGAAACCAATGAGCTTTGTAAAACAGATCCACTTTGGAGACAAGTAGAAATGCTTGCATTTATATTGGGCTTTTACCCCATATAATCCCATAGTACTTTCCACACAGGAGAAGACCCACTTCATCCACCACCAAAGGGCGCAGTGACAGCCATACTGGACGAGGGAGAAACTGGACATCGGTAGGCAAATTCTGGGCCAGAGAAAGAACTCCACCTATTGGTCCACTGACATCACTTTAAGTAGCAGCCTGATTTCCTTAGTAGCTCTCCCTTCCCATAACTGACGAGGTCCGGCTTCTGAGAATCAGGCCGCAAGCTTCCAGGAACTTGTTCTTTGACACATTTTTTCGTGCAGCTCTTTCCCGAGCCAATCCACAGCTGTATTACTGTAGCTGCACGTACTGTAAGTGTTGGCAAATTCACCCTGGCCTCACCGGTATGAATTACGGTGCCCGGTCTGTATCTACAGGATCTAGACGATGGGATTTTGCCATTCATGAGTTTTTAAATGTTTCACTTCCTGCATTAAAACGCAAGGCCCTAATTAATGGCATTTAGAATGCAACACCTGAATTAGACAACTAACCTTCAAGAAGATTAATCAGCCCTCATTTACAAACAAGATCACTGGGATACAGGCTGTGGCTCCCTAACTTTCTTATCCTAACTGAGGACACAAATACCAACAATGATCGTTCTACATGGTGCAAAAACAAAAGATCTCAATGTCTGAACATGACCACCCGAGCGTTATTGTCCGCAGGACACGTACAGTAGCTTAATATGAAAAGCGCGCTGTGTGATAAATTGAGCCGGAGAAAAAAACAGTGATTCAATAATATACCGGCCGTCACTAGTTGAAAAACAAAAGCTATTATAGAGCTAATCTCGGAAGTAAACGGCAGTGTATCCAGACGTCAGCAAGGTTCTGCAGATACACCTGAAAGGAGTGCTTGTTTACTGACCTGTTTAGCTGAACTTTCCGTCCCCACGCCACGTGACACACCCACGAAGGTATTTCTAGGGCTTATTAAGCCTGTGCGCTTTCATTTTTAAAATAAATGGAGCCTAACCCTATCATCCCGCATTTAAACCTACGCCCTCCCCCCCAAAAACTATATGTACTCTAGTTTTAGAGGGGCATCTTGCGCCATTAAAGTTTTTTTTCTCTTTTCAAAACAGAAACAAACGGCTCGACGATTTTACCTTGTTTAAAGTCACTGGCTCTGCGCTCGCTCGGCATGGGTCATTCCTCTTCAGTGTGATCGAGATCTTCCACACTGCTGCCTACCCGCCTGAGGTGGGTCCCAGACCTTCTCTCGCAGTGAGGTTTTTAGGTCGAGACTTTACCATATGGTATACAATTCTATGATAGAGACCCACTCGGTGGCGTCAGGGGGTGCCTGTCATTAAATCGATTTACTAAACAAACTGAAACTTGGGTGTGGATGTTAAACAGTAACTAGCTCCAATAAAAAAAGAGAGAAGAAAAAAACTTAAAAGCTTTGTCAACTGTATCTTGAAAAGGTATCTTTAAATCAGATAGATTTAGAAGTTCAATCACCTTTTTCGTTATGTTATGAATCTAAAATCTGAATAATAAATTAAATCAAACAGGAATTAACGTGGCCAGTAACGAAAGGAAGTCGGGGCAGCTCAGTGCGTTTATTAGCAAGAGGCAAGTCAGCTTCAAGCTTTATATAAGAAGGTAACTAAACATTTTCAATAGGGCAAACATTATTAAACAACAACATTTTCAATGTGTGATATTTTACTCATTGTGTGATTTTGTCCACCTAAGAAGAAACACCAAAATTAAATGTAAATTTGCAGGGACATACCCGTTTTGTATCCTGAACTGTTTATTTGTATTTACAGTTCCTCACAACACTGGAGCCCAGAGTGCAATTCCTGGGGTGCAGTCTGCTTGGAGTTTGTATGGTCTTCCATGTTTGTGTGGGTTTACTCCAGGTGCTCCAGTTTCCTCCCACAGCTCAGACATACCGGCAGGTTAAATGTCTTCTGAGAAAACTGGTGTGTATGTTTGTCTCTGTGTGTCCTGTGATGGATTGGTGTCCCATCCAGGGTGTACCCCACCTTGTGCCTGTGCTTGCTAATTTAGGCTCCAGCACCCCTTGTGACCCTGTACTGGAGAAAGAAGTCAGAAAATGAACAGATCAGAAACACTAAATAATCAGGAAACGTTTTGTTTTTATGCTGCTCTTGTGGTAGAAAGGCATATCATCTTTCTGAATAATGGCAGCAAAGAAGGACTTAGATTATATGACCTCATTAGTCTTCTGTTTAAAGCAAAAGAGACCTCATCATACAGAGACTGTTTAAATGTCTGTGTGTTTAATGTAATGTTTGCTTGGTTTTCATCTTATGTATTCATTTATTTTACAAACCTAATTTGTTCATCCTGAGATTGCTATTGACCGAGGGAGAAAGCAATCACAGTACAGGCAAACGAGAAGGGCTACAGGAGAAAACATTTCAGGAAACACTGTGTACCTTTGATAGATTTTGCCTTGCTCTAATTTTTTACACTCAAGAAGTTATACATTAAAATGTCTTCCATAATAAAAGCTTCTGTCAAGAAGTAAAAACTAATATTGTTTGCAAGATTATTTTCATGAATTTTGATTTTATTTTAATTAAATCCCAAACAAAATCAATACAGTTTTAAGAGTTCACTTGTACTCTATTTTAAATAAACCGCGTAAATCAATTCATATTAATTTAGTATTTGAATTGTTAATGTATTTCTTCTCAAAAATGATATTTGTACTTTGAAGTAGGTATATTAAAGTATATGCTTTTGTTTAAAATATTTGCTGTTGGTCTTACAATTATAAATCGTAAAAAATGCATAAAATTGTAAACATCTTTAATTGAAGGAATAATACAAACATGCTTCTACAAACATATCTTCGTGTATTTAGTGCACATTCTTTATTGGAGAATCAACAACAGGAATTTTCAGGCTGATTTCCGGGTTGATAATTTGCATGAAAGCAGGCAGATGACCTTTAGAAGGGGATGCATTAGAACAGTATTTTGGAAAGAAGCTAACAGAAGCTATCAGAAAATATTTGTGTTTGAAATCAACATCACTATTAACCATGCAATGTGCAGGTAGGGAGCATTAACTCAAAATTGGTTTGGGGAGCTACAGTACAACAACAGAGATCAGAGATCCTTGGTTTACTGATCTTACCTCTGCTGAAATTAGAAGTTCCAACTTCAAAATGCAGAGGGAAGAATATTTTTATTCACATCAGACTTTCTCAACAAATTAAAAAAGTCTAAAATAATTATATCCTTTGCCTGTGAATCATTCAAGTGACTGAACTAACCCTGCACTAACACACATCACTCTTCATGATACACAATACAAAGCAGTGTAGTTTCACAAAGACTATACTTTGCCACTATATAAAACTATAAATCTAAACTTAAACGTTATTTAGTTCATGTGTTTTAACCAATGTAATCTTCCTTTTATTTTGAATTAGCATAGTATTTTAATATACTCTTTTCTCAAAGGACCACTACCACAGTTCATTTTCAGTCTCTTTCCCTTTCAGTAAATTCATCTTGGCTATTCTGATGTACGCAAACGTCTCCTGATGATGCTGACCGTGATATTCCAGATTACTATCATTACTGGCGATGCCTTGATGCGAGAGACAATCTGGGATAATTTTGGGAATTTACAGAGTTCCTTAAAGACTGCGTTTTTATTTTTTGTCGCCAGGTGGCACTGAGGCACTACAGCAGAAAAGCTTAAAGCTGTTAAGTGTGTAGTGTGCTGTGTGCTCCAAATGTTCATTTTAATACTACAAAACCACCGCAGAATAAGTCCACCAATACGTTTTCAACACCTGTATTGTTCATAAAATATTCTACTTGTTTTAAATTAAGAGTCTTAAATTACCCGATAATCGTCTTAACAAAACTTGTTTACTGGCTGTCCGTGAAGCTATAGCTGTACCAGCGACAGTTTTGACTGTATCTATTCTCTAAAATGGACGGATTGTGTGTTAATGATTATGCGGAAACAGCAGATTGAAGTTTCAGTTTCCGTTTTTTTAAATTATTGAGACGGGACGTTTACTTTGGCAATAACGTCACTGAGGGTTGGAAAAAAAAACTATGGACAGTTTCATTACCGTTATCACCTGAGGTTAAAACTTGCTTTTTGTGGCAATCAGTAATTCTTTAACGCTCTCCACACCCTTATCACTAGTGGACTCTAGTGTAGAGTTCATCTGTACACAGACGTTCAACATAATCAGCGGGGACGACTGCCACATAGAAGATAAGTCTCTTTAAAGTATTAAGCGTATTTTTTAAATTGAAAACACCATAAGAAAATGTTCATATAAATCGAACATGCAGCTATATTAATCCATAAAAGCAGTGCCTGAAAATTAATAACATAGGTAACAATCTGTATTTTAGGTCTCTAAATGAGGCCACAAGGTGGCAGTATAAGTATATAAAGTAGTGAAGTAGAATTAGGGTGCTGTTTTTGAACCAACGTTTCCTTTTCATGTAGACTGATTTTAATACATATGTTTGGTAAAAGCTAAAACAATAACCTCAACTTACAATTTTTATGGCATTATAAAATCCTATGCCATTGGCTAAAAGGCTCCAAAGAAGGGAAAATTCACTGTCCACATACGCTATATATTTTCTTTCCCTGAATACTTTCCAATTTGTTTCTCAAGTAAACAGATATGTGATCATCAAAAAATAACTGAAATCAAAGTCGACTGGGTACTCAAGTTACTTACCTTTGATAAGTGAGATACTGAAATTGTAAAGACAGTCACTCAGACATCCCTAAGTTAATTGTGAGTCGAAGAATTAGACAAAACTTTAAGATTTTCTGATGATTCTAGCCTTCACCAGTTCCAGTTTGTGAATATTGAAGCTGAATGGCTTTTGATCTCCGGGCAGCATGTCGGCTCAGGGGTGAGCCCTGCTTCCTCACTGAGCTGGGGCCCTGGGTTCAACTCTTGGAAAGTACTGACTAATTGGCCATGACCCCTGGACCACAATAAAATGATCTCATGGCACTTGTGTGACGAGTTGGACTGTCAACCACTGTCCTGGCTAAACACTACCTTGGGCTTGTAAAATTCTGACCTTCCTCAAATGCCTTCTTAATTCAACTGCTGGCACGACATCTCAGTTCACTACCTGCTCCCCTGAGCATCACCCGGGGGGGCTGCGCCTCCGTGGATGAGCTGCCCAAAGTGGGTCCCCCATTATATGTACAGCACTGTGACGGGAAATGACATTATTCTGTAAACAAATACGGGAGCCTGACCAATGGAATCAAAATGTCAAATTCGAAAAACCAGAGGTCCAAGCAGTAACACTCTATTCAGTAATTTACTGATTCAATTCAATTTGTTTTACATTCAGTAGCCCACTTGCAACAGAGCCATGGATATAGCAAGTAAAGAGTGGCAATTAAATTCTTCGTAGAAGACAATATAGCACATCCATTCACACATCCATTCAGCAGCATGGAAGGAAGCTCTTGAGTTTACTACACGCGCTGTTGCAGGCAATGCAAGAGGCTTTTCCTGCAAAGGTTAGCAAGTCAAAGCAGCTGAGAGCCGTCAGGGCAAGAAAGACTTCGTTCTGCCAGTGAAGGTCCATTTTTTCATCCTCGTTATTCTGTTTCACTAAGTAATAGATCCTAAAGACATGATATGGAACAAAACATACAAACATCACCATGACAAACGCAAAACTTTTAACCTGTGCCCAGAACTCCTGGTAGGAGGAACACTCACTCCTGTATCTTCTCAGGATTTTCCAAAAGATATACATCTGGAATCCCTTCAGTCCAGACGCAACTAACACGACAATGATAATGATCACGTAGTTCAGTACAACCACGTAAGTCTCCTTCAGCTCACTTTCAAAACGGAAGCACTGGGATGAAGTATAGTTTCCAGAATTTCCGTACTTGGTAATGTAAATGGGCAGCACGATCACCAGCATGATTCCCCAGACCCCTGCGCTGGCCCACAGGGCGTGAAGCTTCCTGTAGAATTCCACCTTGTCCCTCTTCAGGTAGAAGGACCGGTATCGGACCACCAGGATCGCCACGTAGAAGACAAACGCGATGTACATGTGGGCGTGGATCATGGCGCTGACCAGCTTGCAGAAGAAGGGGCCCAGATCCCAAGTGTCCGTGACATAGTAATGGATGCGGAAGGGCACCGTCAGCAGGAAGATGATATGCACCACAATGAGATTAAGCACGGCGGTCGTCGTCACGGACCGTATGTTCGACTTCAGGACGCAGATCACCAGTCCAATGCTCACACTGCCACCCAGGAGGACGCAGCTGTAAATCGTGATCAACGCCACCCTGAGGGGCCAGTACTTGGCATCTGTCGTGTTGTTCGCAACGCCATTCAGTGACACGTCCATTTGTCTCTCCCTGGAAAATAAAAAAAAGGGTGGATCAGAGCAGCCGACGTCTTCTGCTTTCACATCTGCAGCTCCTCTTGTCGCCTTCTCATGAAGTGCTTTCAGCTAAAAAAGGTTAGGTGACTTTAATGTTCCCTGAAACGGACGATCCAAGCAAGTCAAGTATATTTGAGCTTTGTATTAAGGTCTCCAAAACTCCGTAAAGATAATATTGATGCACGGCGCCAACCTAAAAAATCTCCTCTCACTACCATCCTTGGAACCCTCTCTGCTTCCCCCTGGATCCCCGAGACTGGCCAGGTCAGCTCTACTCAACGCCTGCTCCTTGACCAATAAGGCTCTTTTTATATGTCACTTTATTACAGATAAAAAACTGGACTTTCTCTGCTGAACCGAAACCTGGCACAGACAAAACGATGGTCTCCTGTTGAACCTAGTCCCTCCAGAGGTTGGGTTGTTTGACTTCCCACACCTCTCAGGCAGGGGTGGGGGCATCATAGTTATTTACAATCTTCTTTACAACTAAAGTCCTGTTACTGTACCTCTTCATCTTCTTTTGAGTGTCTTGTTTTAAATGCCCCTGTTCCCCATTCTACTATCATTGTGTATAGACCACCCAAACCTAACGAAGCCTTTTTCAGGTGAGTTTGCCGATTTAGTTTCATTTTTATGCCTTAGATTTCAGGGGATCCTTATTCTTGGGGACTTTAATATACACATTTACTAAAGGTCTTCCAGTTTGACTAATGATTTCCTAGCTCTGTTAGGATGCTTTGATCTAACTCAGTTTGTTCATAACCCTACACATAACAAAGTACAAACTCATGCTTAATCATTGCAAGTGGCTCTTTTGTCTCCCACTACTCTTCCCTTGATCTAGGCCTCTCTGACCACTTAGCTATTCTTTTCAACCTGGAATTACCTGTTTCTAACACTTCCCCCTCACAGTCTGTAAATTTCCGCAACTGGCGATCAATTGATCAGCCTAGGTTCACGTATTCTGTTCTGTTCTCCTTATCTCGCTTCTCTTCCTTAGATCCTCTAGAGGATAAAATACATGTGATTAATAGTGCTCTTTTATTTGCCCTTTGCTCCTCGAAAAACTCGCACCATCTCTTTTTCTAGCTCTGTCCCCTGGTACACATCTGCGATCTATGAAGGCAGTCTCTCGGAAACTAGAGCATAGGTGGCATTTTTCTGGCCTAAATGTACATTATCAAGCTTGGAAAGATTACTTGTCTGAATATAAGGATACAATAGAGTCTGCTAGATCCATCTACTTCTCTCACATCATTGAAAACAACCATAACAACCCCAGACATCTTTTCTCCACCATCAACAGACTGCTCAAGCCAAACTGCCCCACCACATTACCTCGCTCATCGCAACTTTGCAACTCATTCTTAGACTTCTGTAGCTCCAAGATTGACATCATCCGGCATCACATTCTCTCCACAACATATATCATTCGCACACCTTCTCCCTGCTTGTCGAACTTTTCTGGTTCCCTTCTCTCCAACTCTCCTCTTGACTCTGCATCCCCCCTTAAACTAGTTTCACACATGAAATCCACCACCTGTATATTAGATCAGGTTCCCACCACTTTATTTCAGTCCTGTTTTACTTCTCTCTGCCCCGTTGTCCTCAATATAATAAATGAATCCTTGAGCACTGGTGTTGTACCAACAGTCCTCAAAACTGCTGCCATTACCCCCATGCCAAAAAAAACTAACATGGCTGTCAACAATCTTAACAATTTTCGCCCCATCTCCAACTTACCCTTTCTTGCAAAAATTCTGGAACTCGCTGTCACATTTCAATTACATAACCACCTCATGACAAATAATCTTTTCAAACCCCTCCAATCTGGCTTCCAGCAACTTCATAGCACAGAAACTGCCCTGGTCAAAGTTACTAATGATCTTCTAATGAGCTTCTGATTCTGTTTCTCTTTCTATCCTCATTCTCCTTGATCTCAGTTCTGCTTTCAACACTGTTAACCACGACATTTTATTTTCTCATCTTGAGACTGTGTTTGGAGTTTCTGAAGTGCTCTTAAATGGTTCTTATCTCACTGATCACTGTCACTTTGTCCCTCTTGACGGATTTAGGTCTGAAATTGGACTTGTTAAGTCTGGTGTTCCTCAGGGCTCAATACTGGGTCCCCTACTTTTCAGCATTTACATGTTTCCACTTGGTCAGCTTTTAAGATAACACGGACTCAACTATCATTTCTATCATACTCAAATATACATCTACAGTCTAAATTGAAAAACCTTTGGGTGATATTTCATTCAGGCTTAACATTCAACCCACATGTGCAGCATATTGTTAAAACATCTTTCTATCACCTCAGAAAGACTACACCCTATGTTATCACTAACTGTGGCTAAAGAGCTGATCAACACATTTGTGTTTTCCCGAATTGACTACTGTAATGCTCTACTCGCTGGGGTATCTAAATCCACATTGAACAAACTCCATTATGTCCACAATTTGTCAACCAGAATCCTGACCAAGCATAGTGCAAGTGATCACATTACTCCTATCCTGGAGTTCTTGCACTGGCTTCCTGTCACGTTTCTTGTCGACTTCAAAATCCTCATGCTCACCTATAAGGCTCTGGATGGCTTGGCACCTCAGTACCTGTCTGGGCTATTATTGCCCTACTCCCCATCTTGCAACCTTCATTCTTCTAATTCTGGTCTCCTAACTGTCCCCCAAGCCCGTCTACACTCTATGGGTGACAGGGCCTTCTCCTGTCATCCCCATAAGCTCTGGAACTCTCTCCCCAAGGATATTAGAGAGTCACCTTCTCTAAACTCCTTCAAATCCAGACTCAAAACATTCTTCTTTAGAAGAGCCTTTACTTCACTGGTTCCATTCTTAACCCCTCTGCTCCTACTGTATTTAGTACCACTATCTACTGTCTCCTCGGCGTATTTTCATCGTGTTTAACTTGTGTATTTTTTATTGTTCATTTTTAATTGTTGTTGTTGCTGTTGTCATTCTGTAAATAAAATAATATTATCATTACTTTTTTTGTCACTAAAGGGCATTTGTCAGTAATAAACTGTAAAGGAAAATCCTTTATAAAAATTTAATTAGGACAATAATTAGTTAAATTGTTTAAACATTTTCATCAGAACACTAACCAGAAGACACCTGGCTCTCCAGGAACTGAGTCTGAGGCTCCTAATTAAGTCATCACACACTTTCAGTGGCTCAGAAGGAAACACACACATGGCTACTATACCTAAAGTCTTATCATCATTTCCATGAAACACAGGATTGTGGTTCACCTTTCATCAGAGCAGTGCCTTTACAACAAAGGGACTCTTGAGCTGGGAGAAAACCCCTAGCGTGAAGTACAGGGCCCATATGTTTCATCTCTCTTAAACAGTTTACAGGTCTCCTACTGCAGCTAGCAACAAAGATTTATAGTTGAAAGTGTGGAATAACTGTGGGCAGCGCAGTGGTGCAGTGGCTAGCACTGCTGCCTCACAATTCCAGTGGTGCTCGTATACTTTCCCCAGGTTCACATGAGGTTCCTCCAGGAGCCTTTTACAGTCTAGTGTCCCCGTCACAATACTGGGGCATTAGGATCCACACAGACCGCAGGGCGAGTGCTCCCTGCTGGCCCCACTAACACCTTAGCTTTCCCAGGAGGTCTCCCATCCGGGTACTGACCAGGCTAACTTCTCCTACCTAGCTTCAGTGGGGTGCAGGGTGATACGGCTGCTGGCACAGCAACCTCCAGGTGCTCTGGTTTCCTACCACAGTTCAGGGACTTACTGGTAGGTTAATTGGCCCTGGTGTGAGTGTCTGTCTGCCATGCTACAGTCATTCCGTCCAGGGTGTATCTGCATGCTGGGATAGTCCCCGCTCCCCAGCAACCCAATATTTCATCAAGAAAATGGACGGATAGGTGTAGAATAACCCCAATGTTTTTCTCTCTTCATAAAAAACAACTTAAAGTTACCCTGCTGCTAATCAAAGTCTACCTTAGGAGGTAGCATGTGTGCAAAGAAAATTCAAGTGTTTTACGCGCATCTTATCACTGTTGCTAAGTCTTCTTGTTGGTGGAGATAAAGGTACATTGTTACCCAGTTGTCACATAATTGATAAAGAGCACAAAATGTAAAACAGATTTTTCAGTTTTAAAGTCTTTGGAATCCCGATGTAGGTAAGATATATCTGACTTAAATTAACTAATTATCTATTAGTTTATTGTAAGGATTACGAATCTAAAAGAAAATCAGTTTATTCCATTTTTAACGAGATCCACTGTAAAAAATCTATATCCAGCTCATTCTTGACACACTGCTGTAGGTGATTGGTACATGTACGTCAAGATCCTCCAGCCAAGCTAAAAATACAAATATAGGAAGACTTGATTCCACCCCAGTACTGTCTCTTGTAGTAATATATACATTTTTATAGAATGTGTTAGGACAAAACAAGAAAGGAAATAAAGGAACGAATAAAAAGCAAACATTTTGCTTTATCGAAATCATTACATCATCATTCAAATTACCAGCACTTCTGTACAAGGCAGTCGTACGCCGCGCTGCAGAACAAAACTGCGACCTTTAATTTCTACATACAGACCAGCGCCTCAGTGGTAGAATGAATTTTAAACTCCAGACAGATGCAAGGGGGTTAAAGGTGGATCCAAGCTCGATATTCGTTTGATATTCACGACTGTGAAGCTTAATGCCTGTGTTCCCCAACGCAAACATACTTACAAGTGAAGCGAGCGGCTCTCCATAAACGCTCTCCAAACCCAGGAAAACAGCAGCTAAAAGGGAAGATCTCAGTTACTCTTTCATTTGCCTATTCAACACCGCCCCTTATAAAAATGGCATGTAGTTATTGGCCAGGTCATTTTACACGTCTGGCTTTAAAGTTTTGCTTTATATCTATCTAATAATTATTTCTGTTACACCTGTCTCTGTATTACTCTGTAGTACTGTATGAAGGAAACCTCGAGTTTCACTTAACGTGATGTCTGTTAGAACAGCACAATTTGAAAAACATTACATTTCTATAAACGTCTGGTTATCGTCGTTCCACATTAAATTAATATATCGGAATTAAATTAATGTTAACGGGGCATTTCATGTTAATAAATTGACACTGGATACTTCTTTACAGTTCCCGGCGTTTTCCAAGACTTTTCTTGAGCCGTCAAAAACCCTATTTAAAAATGTAACACGCAGTGTGTGAATAGACAAAACATAACATATATTATATCTAACATTCTGCACAGCGTTCCCCCAACAAGGACTAGACCGAAAACACATCTCCGAAAAACACTAAGAAAGAGAAGACAAACCATCTCAACAACAAAAAAAGTATTTTACAAATTCTAGGAGACATACACTGTACGACAATGCACAGCCCCCTACCTCTGCACAAGGACGTCGTTCTTCACTCAGCCTCGCTGCAGAATAACTAAAAGTCTGTTTACTTCCATGGGACACAGACCTGCCCAGAGGTGCCTGTCTGTGCGCAAAAACAAGTACAGGTATGTGACATTGCGTCTGTCGGTGAAGTTTGGCATCGGCACGCCTGTCAGCTCTGCTCCAAGCACAACTGAGATGGGTTACACTGACTGCGGAGCACAGACCACAGGGCGGATGTTCGCCCGTTATGCCTCCCTTCTGCTGTTACCGCAATATCCGTTTTTACGGAACAGGGTTGCTAGCCTTGTGCCCAACCTCCAACACGGAGGACCCACGGCGCAAGACGTGGGACACGAACCCACTCCCCTGAGATGACGAGTCTCATGCTCTACCTAGAGGGGGCCCCAAGACCACAGGAAGATCCCCTAAATTTAAAACATCGGAGATTTGCCTACGCAAACGGCGATGGAAAGGGATTTACAACTTCACTGTTTTATAAACTGTACTTTAATACGGGATTAAACAGCAATCAATAGTACTGAAGTGCAAAGGTGGCTATAATTTTAGAAAAATGTCGGGGTATAACATTGATGACTTGGCCGAAACAAATGAGTTTGACAAACAAGTATCCTCCGTGTCTTCTGTCAACTTCTGGGTTCACTTTGAGAAGCCAAGCTACTGTATGCAGCTGGTAACTAAACAGCGCTTGAGAGTGACGGATGTAGATTGCAACATGGTTAGTGCAAGCTCAGATATTGCTGCATGTGAAGCTAGATTGCTACATTTTCAATGAAAAAACAGCAATACTACAGAACTAGAAAAAAAATCAAACAGTTTGCGGCATTAACCACGATTTAAATTGATGTGTACATTATGGTATTCAACACTATGTCAGTTTTATAAATTGGACAACATGCTTTGAAATTAACATGCTTAAAAACTAATATTGATTACACTAAAGTGTGGTCTTGTCACACTTGGTTTATTTCTGACCCAGTTTCAGACCAGTTTGGCTTTTGAAGCCAGGAACATCAGTAAAGTGCTTGTTTTCCCCTTAACCATATTGGTTATATTTATTCTTGTCTCACCAAGCAGAGATCAGGTCTGCTCTTAACAAGCCACAATATGTCAATAATCCAGCCATTGAAATTTAAACTTAATTGTACAATCATATTACACCAGTCCTAGAAACTCTACACTGGCTTCCACTGGAACTCAGGCTAAAATTTTAAATCTTATTTCTCACTTTGGGTTAGTGTCGCAGGATGTGGGCCATTGAGGCAGTCACAGGCTGGGATTGATTAGGTTATGTTGATTTCCAGGATGATGTCAATGTTGCCTCTCACTAAAGGGGGTCGACTGCAGTTGTCCCAATGAAAACCGTCTAGCAGGTGCAGTCAGTAACAACAGTCACACCCAGGTCGTTCAGGGAGCAATTCGGTATCGAGACTTGGAGATGTGAGGAGTCGCTGAGCCAGTTTTAGCCAGACCAAGGGAGGAAGAGGGAGAGCCAGAGAGTGAAGAATGAACTGATAGGGTCCCATGACACCTAGCCTGGCACTCCCATACCCCTCAAACAACACAAGCTTCCTCCTGGAAAAATACTGGGCAAACCTGATTCTGACAGGGACAGTGGAAAACCCCCTGAAAGGGATTGGCTAAGGAGTGGGATAAAAAAGACCTGAGACAGAACAGAGGGGGCTCACGATTCCCACCAGACCCTGGAGACAACACAGGCAGCAGAAGAGAAGCTGCAGAGTGCGAGACCACAGAGGAACTGTGCAGAGACTTCTAACACCTGAAGGCAAGGAACTACTGGTTCAGTAACTGACGACCACGGGAGACATAGGCATTGGAAAAAAGGTACTGTACAGAGACTTTTAACACCTGAAGACAAGGAACAAGGAACAAGGAAACTGGCACAGCTAGCCAATTCAAACTGAGGGGAATGTAATACAGCCTGCAGAGGATTTCTATATTACCTGAACGGAGACTGGGTAAATAGGATTGGGCGATACCCCTCTCCTCCAAGTGGGCCATCAGAGACTACAGGTACTAAGTAGAAACGTTCGAGTGGCCTCTCTTCAGTATTTTACAGGAAAGACTGCTGCTCCTCTGTATTCATTATGACCATGGGAAGGACCTTTTGTTGCTGCGAATGCTGTTTTCGTTGTGTTGTTGGGTGATAGTGAATGTGAATGTTGTTCAAAGATAAAAAGGGCACTTATACAATACAAATGCTTGTCGCTGGTCTGTGTGTGCATTGGTGATTCTGGGAGATAAACAGGACCTGTGGTAATGTAGAGGGGCCCTAGCACCCCGTTTGTATTGCTAGGTGGCGTAGTCGTACACGAGGCAGGAACATTCCTCGCAAAAACTGTTGCTCAGTAAACTTTTTAAACATGTTTGGAATAACAATGTTTATTTAAAATGTACAAGATTTAACATGTTTTACTCATCTGGATGCCTTTGCCAAAGTGTTCTGGAAGCAGTGTGAAAAACCCATAGAACACCCTCATCAGAGGGAGAGACATACTTTAATTAATTACTTTAATTACTTGAATTGATTTGATCTTTCAGTGCAATATTAAATAGCATACAGGTCACCATTTTTTTAAATGTCACTTACTGTATACAGTATGTAAACTTCTCACAGAAGACCCAGATAACTGTGAACTGAACTGTGAGGCCATAGAGTGCTCTTTCCTCTTTTTAATGTACTGTCAGAACTTCAGGATGTTACAAAACTTCTGAATGAAGACCAATCGCAGTGAATATTCCTTTACATTCATAAAAACTGAGGGATTGTAAATATATGAGCAACAACTTGTTACACTTAAGTAGCATAATACTACACGTCTTAATGTAACTACAATAAGTGTTTTGCCCTCCAGTGTGCTCAGCAGTAGTGAGACATGCATTGTTACCAAAATCACTATCTGTGCTGGGAATGGATACAGACATTCCAAGGCTAGTGACATGAAAAAGAGGAGGTAGTTTCAGAGGATCAGCCTCTATAGATGCATACAACAACAGCAAAACATTATGTACACAGTATGGTACTCAATATATTTAGAAAATCCAGATTTACAATGAGGCATGTTTTTTGGGGATTTTAATTAAGACAGCCTTCTCTACCAAATGGCCTTCTTCTTGACTGAAACCTTGTTATAAATGTTATCACATTCTTTTGTAGTACTTTGATGGCTTGTAACAATCAATATTTATGTCCCACTAAATTCAAGTATTGGCAAACATTCATTTAGTATTTGCTAGTTTGGGCCTACTGACAGGCCTCTAGACATTATCCTGAGTGAAAAAACAGGCACCTCCACGCAGTGGAAAGAGGATAATGGGGGCTGTGGAGTGCAGAGGGCATTGCAGTTGTTTCTTTACAATTTTTCATAAATGGGCATCTATACCCACAGCACGGTAAAAGAGATGTGAAAGTCTTTTGTCTTAGAATGCCTTGCCACGTAATGATGCCAACCCCTCTTTCATTTCTGGCATGAATAGGGTGAGTGAGTACACTGTATGCAAACAGGAGAATACATATGAATAATTGCCATGGTTCATTTTAAACAACACCATTGAATTTACCACATTTATCCAATGTTTATACTATGGGTGCACTGTGTTTTTCCATTTTGTCATATTGTGTACTGTGAATTAAGGAATTTTGTTATGAAGGTACTGCTCATATTGTTCATAAAAATAACAGGCCTCAACAGTTGATGGAAATCTACTGGACTAAACCCCTTGAACAATTACTCAGATGTTTTTCCTTTGTGTGACTTAAATCCTATTATTGTTTTTTAAAACAGAATTAAAAACAACCAACCCTCTTGCCAACTCCACTTCAGTGATATCCTCTCAGAATTTCCACCATAGTACCCCTAAGGTAACGTCAGATAATTGCTATAGGATTATCTGCAGGATAAAAGTACAGTGCAAAAAATATTTGACTTGAGCCTTAAGTACCGGAAAGAACAAAATTCCCCCTTTTTTTCTTACAATAGGATATTGTATCAGCAGCAGCACTCCAAGCCTACAAACCCACCTCCCAGCACTGCACTGCGCATCTGAGCAGTAGAACACTTGATATCAATACTGGTGTGCCAAAGCAGGACAGGTTCTTGTCAAGAGAAGGAATGCAGGGGCTCCCAATGCAGCACCGGCGCCTCTTCAGCTGCAGGGAGATCACCCAATGAAATTCGTTTCTGCGGCTGTAAGAAGCCAAGATGGAGTTTAGCTTTTACCGGGCCTTGCCCCGTCTGCATGCCCGCTGGTGGAGCCCTTCGGAGGTTGGCCCTTCGGCAGGCCCGCAGGTGCGCAGGGCGCTCCGGAGCTGGCCGGTCGGCTCCCCTTTCTCTGCCTGGACATGTAGTTATGATTTAACTGGAATCACAGAACCAGAGTGACAGTGAGAAATACATTAGTGGATAGACTGCATTCTGAAGAGACAGGAAAGATGGAAAAGGTTGAGCTGTAGGACTATACATCAAAAAGACGACTTAGGCACAGGAAAGAAACCTGCAGTAGATGAATACGAAGGTCTCAAAATGTCTTTGGGTAATAGTTATGAAAAGGTCATAGTAGTCAAGGAGTAATAAAGGGAAAACTTTAGATGATGAAATTGGAATGGGTGATGTATTAAATTAATATTTCACTAAGGTATTTACCAAGTAAGTAATTGAAATATGCTCCGGGCTACGCAAAGAGTAAGTTCAGTATTAAATAGTATTATCATGTAAGAGGAAGAATTGTTACAGGTATTAGAAGCACTTAAGCAAATCTCCTGGGCCCAGTAGCATTCTACCAATTATACTTAAGTGAATGAGATTTTTTTTCAATCGAACATAAGCCAAACTCTTTCAGCAGGCATTCAAGACAGGGGTAACACCCATCTATCCCCTCATCCCTCTTATCCAATACAGGAGCCAATCCCAGCAAGAAAAGGTCACGAGGCAGGAAACACCCTGGATGGGATGCTAGTCCGTCACAGGGCACACACAGACACAAACACACAAACCCACACTAGGGCCAATTTTCCAACAAGCCAGTTGACCTACCAGTATGTCTTTGGCCTGTGGGCAGAAGCCAGAGCACACAAGGGAAACTGAGTTGAACACGGAGAAAACATGCAAACTCCACACAGATAGTTAGTTTTGAACCCTACTCTACAGTTCAATTTCTTATTTCATCCTCTTAACACAGCAGCATGTAACAGGCATTATAAATATAACACCTGCTGCCCTGCTAAGGTGTCACGTATCACGTGCATCTAAATGCAAAGTACTTCAACTGGAACCAATTTGAGTGCCAGATCTATCTGTTGATTTTTTGGATGACCTTGCTGCTGTCTGATTTTGTTCTACAGTATATTTAAGCTTCTCAGTTGAGTATGAAAAATACATATTTTATTATCACCAGAACTGCATCACGAACAAAGAAACCACTGGAAGAAAAGGATTTCTTAATTCACTGTGTGGTCTTGCTCTACTATTATTGGAATATGAGATAGATTCC